CAGCATCAGCCAGGGGACTGAAAGGGGCAGGACAGAGCTCAGAAGCAGGTTTCCATCTTAAACAGAGCTGGTTCAGGGCTCAAAGAAGTTCACCTGGCTACCCCGTGCAGTGTGGGCAAGCAGCAGAGTGTCTGCAAGCAGCTGAGTGACATCTGGCACTGGGGCAGTGATGCCATGTTTTACCCCAGGCCCCTGTGGGGTCCTCCCCTCAGGACTTGCCACCAGGCAGAGTGCACCAGCAAAGAGGGTGCAGTGAAAACTCACCTGGAAGGGGTAGGGGAACCGCTCGATGATTGAGATCTGCTCCATGTTGTTGTAATCCTCCCCTTTTCTCTGGAAGAGAGAGGAAGAGAGGGATGATGGCATCCTGTTGCTCAGCTGCTGGCATCTCCTCTGGAGCAAGCCCACAGCTTTTGGCATCCTCCTGCTCTGCATCAAGCTGGACCCCTGGTACGGTATGGACAGAGCTCCCCATGCCAAGCAGGGCTGTCCCCACTGCCAACACCCCAGGGACTCTCCCTACTCCCCCAGCAAGGGGACAGCAGGACAGATGCAGAGACCCTCCTCACCGGGACCTGTCGCTCAGGGGGAGGGTTGTTTTCAGGTGCCACTGTCTCCACACAGGTGATCTTCTCAATGTCCACCGAGCCCTTCTTACTGCCCCGGCGCTGCAAGAGACACTCTTGGTTCAAATGGTCACAAATGGAGACTGGAGAGACTCAAACTAACCCCTCTCCCTGTCCAACCACCCTTTGGGCTACGAGCTGGCAAGGGACAGCTGGTGATCCCGGACACCAGCACGGTGCAGCCCCTGTGGCTACAGACTCACCCCCCGCTCAAAGTCATACTCGTAGTAGGACAGCTTGCTCTCCGTCAGTAGGAACAGGCGCTTCTTGAAGTTGAGGGGAGATGTTTTCTTCTTCTGCTGCGAGCGCTTCAAGAAGATGCTCTCCAGGATGACACTAGCCATGTCTCCCCCGTGCTGCGCTCACCCGGTTGCTGTGGGCAAGACAATGCTGGCACGGCGCTTGTTCAGCCCAAAACCTGCTGGACCTCGCTCAGGTGCACTCTCCCCCTTGCCCTAAGTGCAGACAGGGTGCTGGGACCCCCACAGCAGGGGGAACCAGCCGCAGAGGCGTGAGGGCAGGTCAGTGTGGATGGTCTGTGACCTCTCCTGGCCACCACCAGCAGCTGCATACCAAGCCACCACCCGGATGGCTCCTACTCCTGCTGAAGAGGGATATGCAAGATGGACAGAGAGCTGGAGAAAGAAGGAAACGGGGGAAGCTTGGAGCCCCAGGGAGGAGTGCAGAGCCAGCTGTGACACCCCGCAGCTCCTCCCCTCCGGCTCTGTGCATGTGAGCCTGTGTGAGCAGTTTCCTCCTGCCCCACCGCAGGCACTTCGTGCTGGGGACCTGCTGACTTGGCAGCGTGCAAGGGGTGGCCACGGGCGACCAATCCCTGAAAAGCTGTGGGTAGGTGCTGGCCCTAAAAAGCCACAGTGTAGTGCTGCCCAGAGCACGGAGTAGCCCCAAAGTCATCCTTCCCTTGTGTGTCCATGGAGCCTGCAGGAGTGCAGCGGTGGAGCTCAACCCCCCTTCCTCCCCTATGAGCAGCACTTATCAGTGGCCAGGCTTGAAGGGCTGCCTCCAGCCAGCAGGCAGAGGGGTTAAATCCTCCACCAGCCATCAGAAAAGCTCCCCTGAGCCTCTCCTGGGAAGGAAAGGGCTCACGAGAGCCCTGCCTCCCACTGCTGCCTGGCCTTTAGGGGCTGGAAATTGCCCTGGCCCATGACTTGGAGCAGCCCATGCATCTCACCCCATTCCTCCATGCTGTACCCAGGAACCCCAGGTGGACCCAGCACCCCCAGAGCCACGTGGTTGGAGCTGTGGCTGTGACCAGCACCTGACTGCAGTCTGGGGAGCTGATGAGTGAGCTGTGTGGAGCCACTGCTGAGCTCTGATCCCCTGGAGCCCAGCTCCATCTCCTGCCTGACCACCTACAGTCCCTGCTTCCCCTTCACCCACACCTTGTTCCCTTTTTTCCTCCTATAAGCACAGCTTTGGAAATCAACCTGGGAGAAGCTGGTTTTGTCCCCTGTTCCCCACAGCCCATCTCCTCGAGGAGAGGCTCAGAGATGGGCCAGAGACAGGAGTTCAGCCCCCCATTCCCCAGCTGAGTATTCCATCCACTCTCCCCACACAGGAGATGGGCATTGGCTCACTCACAACAGGGATCAGGTGGGGAACAAAGATTCCAGGACCAAGTCCCACACACTATGCCTCTCTCCAGGGCAAGTCTCAGCCTGAGGACAGGAGCAGAGTTGTCGTCCCATCTGCTAGCAATGCCCAGATCCTCTCTGCTGCTGCAGTACTGACCCTGCCCCACTGTCACCAGAGAGGCTGGCGACAAGCAGGATTCCCTCTCCCAGGTTTCCCTCTGCCCCCCTTGTGGCTCTTATGGCACACACCAGCTTTGTTTGAGTGGTCAAAAAACCCCAACTTAAAAAAATTAACTTAAAAAAATTAGTCATCAGAGTCTTTTGGAAAAAACAGCAGCCTGGATGTGCTGATTGAGGTCTCAGGAGGAGGGATCTGTGGTCCCTGCAGGTGGCTGGTGTGGCCCCTGACCCCCAGGCTGCTGGCAGGGTGATGGCTGAGCCCAGAGTGAACCCCGGAACCACTCTGTAGCCCTGTGCCTCATTTTGCCTGCTTATGAAGTGTGGCTGCTGATCCTGTGTCCCAACAGCAGGAGGGCTCCCATTGCCCCCCGGCACAGACACAGGGGCTGGGCAGAGAGGCTTTGGGCTCCAGCCCATCCCAACTGCAGTTCCAGGTCCCTGGAGTTTTACCTGGTGTCACAGTAGCGGGGTCATGGCCAGCAGTGCCAGGCAGGTGGGACACGTCCTCACTGTGTCCTCTGGATGGAACTGCCAGAGGGGAAAGGACAATGAGTGTCTCAGAGGGCTGTTGTGCTCCATCATGGCACAGCCTCCCTGTCCCCAGCAGTGCCACCAGACACATTCTGTCCCTGCCTGTCCTTGGCGTGGTGGGAGCCCCACAGGGCTCACCCCCACAGCCACCACTGCTGCGCTATGACAGCAGAGTGACGAGCGGGTGGGTGGAAGTATGTCCTGTGTCCCCCCCCTCCAGCTAGTGTGACTTCCTGCCATGCTCACACCTCGGCCCAGCGTGCTCTGAGACCACCACCAGGCCCGGCACACACTGCCTCGTGCCACGGGACACTGTGTCCTGCCATGGTCGCAAGGCCATCTCTCCTCCTGCTAGGGAGCTGAGTCACTGCTGGCTGATGTGGGGCTGGCAGGGACCTGGCATTCCCGGGACAAGAGGGAAGGGTGACAGAGTGTCTGTGAGTGACAAACTTCACAGCCCCCAGTTTTCAGGGGTGTCAAAGATGATGGGTGGGAGGGACAGAGGGGGAAACCTCCTGCATGGGAGAGACTCATGAGCAAACCCAGAGCTGTACCCTCGCAGTGCCCATGGCAAAAAGCACAGGTGAGGAATGGCCAAAGACACAAGCAGAACCCCAGCCCTCCTCTTGGCCACCCCTGGGGACCCTGGCACCCACGCACCCCTGTGATTCCCTGCTCCAGCACAGCCTGCAGCCCCGGCATCCCCACCCCACCTCCCAGCCCCATGGCCAGGTGACTGGGGTCAGATGCCACCTGCTTGGAACTGGTCAGGCAGTGGGACAAGAGCCCTCCCAGCTTGGCTCACCCGCCCCATGTGACCTGTGCCCAGCATGGCTCTCCTGCCCCCAAATGAGCCCAGCAGAACTCTGAGGCCACCAGCACAGGCCACATGGAGCCTCCCGCCACCCCGGCCGTCCCACAGCCACATCAGCAGAGCCCCACTGGTGCCCAGAGCGCAGTGGTGCCCCGTGCCATGGCTCTGGGGCTCCACACTCACCGAGCCTTCCCGTTGCCGCTCCGGTCAGCCGGGGTCCTGCCGTGCGCCCACCCCGGCGCTTTGGGGTGGCTGTGGCAGCAGGGACAAGGAGAGACGGCAGGGTGCGCAGGGAGGAAGGACGGGGCCGGCCAACCCCACCCTTTCAGTTCCCCTTTTTTCGTTTTCTGACTCAGAGGCAGCATTTGTGTTTCCTCCTGCAGGCAGCTGTGCCATTGCCATGGGGTCACCAGGGCACCGGCCGTGGCCAGAGCCTGCCCTGCACTGTGGGCAGTGCCAGGTGTTGGCTGAGTTGAGACCATCCCTATGCTGTCCCAAAACGTGTTCTTTCACCCGATGTGCGTGGGGCTGATCCTCACACAGAATCAAGGTATTTTTATTTACAGTTCTATGTGGAAAGAGGTTTTGGTGGCAAATTCACAAAGCCAGCAGAGCGGCTGTCAAAACCTTTTCATTGTTTATACATTTTAGCAAATGAAAACATTAATCTTGATTGGCTACAGATTGTATCATTCATTAGTATTCTATCTTGTAGTGTTCAATGATTCCTTCATTTCTTATGTTAATTAGGCCACACGTTCAGCCTTCCTCTTCATTTGGGTCAGTCGGTGGTCTGTGAGTTGGTGGTGTGATTTCCTCATGCTGGAATCTCTCTTGTCCACTCAGAGCTGCTTCAGCACACTTGTTGAGTTAGCTTTTCTAGTTACATCCTTGTCTTGAGAGTTTTGGCAACTGTACTTGTGCTCCTAAATTCTGCATTCTCTGTGCCCACTATCAGTGGTTAGTCCTTCTTCCCAAGCCTTGTTAACTTCCACCCAGGTCTGAGATCACTGAAACATGTCAAGCCCTAAACCTTAACAAGGCCACTCTATTGACACATAATTTGTCTTTCAAACACCTGGACGTCACCTGCACCCGGCAGATCCCACAGGCCCGCACGTCGATCACACCCCCGGTCCCAGACCCAGCCTCCGTGCCGTGGCTGCCGCCCTGCTCTCCTCCCACCGCCAGGGGGCGCCGTGTGCTGTTCCCGCCCCGCAAGCTCCTCTCTATGGTTCTCAGCTCACATTCGCTTCCGCTTTCGGTCAGCGCCTCCTCTCCGGGCCGCCGCCGCCGCCAAGATGGTGAGTGCTGTGGCTGGGCTGGGCTCCATCCGCCGGCATCCGCCCCGGGGCTGCGCCGCACCGGGCTCCCTCCGCTGCGATGGGTGCGTGCTGGGCTGCCAGGCCGGCGCGGGGGCTTCCCCATCCCCGGATGGCAGCGTAGAGCCCGAGGGAAGGCGAAGGGCGGGAGCTGGGCCTTCGGAGCGGGATGTGGTGTATGCGCAGCGGCAGTGACCGGCTTCTCTCCTTGTCCTCCAGGTGAACGTGCCGAAAACCCGCCGGACCTACTGCAAGAAATGCGGCAAGCACCAGCCGCACAAGGTCACGCAGTACAAGAAGGGGAAGGACTCGCTCTACGCGCAGGGTGAGGACGGGCTCCCTCCGGGGTTGCTGCGGGCGGTCCGGGTGTCGTGTTCCCTGCACGAGTGGTGTAGATTGGGAACATTTGTATGGCTTCCGAGGACAGCTTGACCTAAAGGATGTGGTGTACAATAAAGGGAACTAAATCAATAAGACAGAAGGAGAAAGACTAAGGACGTGTTAGCCCAAAGCACTTTCGGATGGTTGTAGTATAGAAATATTTGACTAATTAGGGAACGTACTCTGGATGAACCAAGCTGGCTGTGAAAGCACAACTGAGGCCCAGGCTGCCCGAAGGAGAGCCCTGCCTATTGAGCATGGGCTGTGAGTTTAAAATGTGCTGGCCCTTCAAGTCGAGGTGAAAGAAAGTGAATCCAGTGGTAGTTTCACCAGTAGTGATGTGGATTAATTATGCAAATGTCACCTGAACAGGACTGTATAAATATTTTTGGCCCTTTGTGTGCTCGCCTTGAGAATTTACCATGCAGCACCCTTCTCTGCACAGAACTCTGAATAAATCAAGTCCCAGCACCTTGTGTGTCTTTTGGCTGCAGAGTGAGGGAAAGGTTCCACTTCGGGGACAGCACAGGAGCTGTGCCCATGGGCTGAGCACGAGGCTTCTGGGGGAGGGAGGCACTGGTTCTGCTGGGCTGTGCAGGGACAGGCTGAGCTCTGCTGGGATTTAGGAAGTGCCAGTTGTGCTTGTAGCAACTCCTAGGTTGTTGCCTGACCAGAGCCATTTTTCCCACAGGAAAAAGGCGCTATGATCGGAAGCAGAGTGGGTATGGGGGCCAGACAAAGCCCATCTTCCGTAAAAAGGTGAGTGTTGCTCCTCAGGAACAAGAAACTTCCTTGGCAACCCACATGCCCAGCTGAGGGAGGATTTCTCAGTGCTCTGCTCTGGTTGTGTTAGGGCAGCTCTATGCTGGCAGTGCAGGCATCCCCTCCTCATCACAGAATGGGTTGGGTTGGAAGGGACCTTAAATGTCATCTTGTTCCAGCCCCCTGCCGTGGGCAGGGCCACCTTCCACTATCCTAGGTTGTTCCATCCAGCCTGGCCTTGGACACTTCCAGGGATGGGGCAGCCACAGCTCTGGGAAACCTGTGCCAGGGCCTCACCACCCTCACAGGGAAGAATATCTTCCTACTCTCTAATCTAATTCTCTGTCAGTGTGAAGCCATTTCCTGCTGCCCTGCCACTCTGTGCTCTTGTAAAAAGTCCTTCTCCATTTCTCCTGTAAGCTCCCATCAAGTACATGGCTCATCTCCTTGCTGTCCTGTCTCAAGGAGATGCTTTTCATTTGCAGAGTGATTTGGGCTGTGTTTGCAGAGCAGGCTGTCAGCTTTGATGCTGCAGGGGAGTGGGGTCTTTTTGGGAGGGATACTTGCAGTGGAAGGAAAGTTCCTTCACTGCTTGCCCAAGGGGAAGAGCTTGACAAAGGGAAAGGAGCTGTCTGCTTGCTTGGTTTGGTATTTACATTAGGGAAGCAAAACCCAGTGAGTGAATTTGTTAGTGTGAATTGTTTAGTTATGCTCGTAGAGCTGCTTGGCTTGTTGCTGGGAAGCCCTGGTGTCCTGCTGGAGGTGTACAGGAAGCCTTCCAGCAGGAAAAAAATAATGAGGCAGTGGATTTTCAACTTGACTTTGTGCCAGGAAGTGGGGAGACCTCATAGAAAATGCTTCTGCAAGCAGGATACACCAAGCAGCTACATTGCTGGCACTCTCTACCTGTACAATTGGGAACAATTCCCTGCAATTTTCATTTCTGTTTTTTCACAGTCAGCATTATATGGATGATTGGCTGAGGTTTTTAGCTGGTGGTTACAGCCCTGTCCAGCTGCTAGAGCAGCTTCCCAGCTTTGGATTCTACCCTCTGCAATCTTTCAGGTTTCATCCAACTTCTGAGTAGCTGCAGGTCTGCATTCAGCCTGTTGTGTCACTGCTCCTTCCAGAGAAAGTTTGCCAGTTGTCTTGCTTCCAGATGTTTCTTTTGCCCAGTTTTCTTCTGGATTTCTCCTGAGCACTGCTGGTCTGTGCTTCCACACTGTAAAATTGTGAGTTTCTTGCTCTGTTCAGTGGAACAGACTTACCCAGCATGGCTCATCTGAGCAGGAACCAGCCCTGCCCCACTGAATGCTTTTGCCAGTGCCCTTTTTGTGAAGATACTTAAAGTTCATGTTTTCAGTGGAGGGTCCCTAACTCTGTTTGTAGTCTCTCTCTACACTTTGGGAACAAACTGAATGTTCAGGAGTGCAAGGAACAAGCTCTCCCTGAGAGCAACACTTTGTCTGCTTGGGGATGCATGGTTCATTGAAACACCCTGCTCCTCCTCCCAGGCCAAGACCACCAAGAAGATTGTGCTGAGGCTGGAATGTGTGGAGCCCAACTGCAGGTCCAAGAGGATGCTGGCAATTAAGAGGTGCAAGCACTTTGAGCTGGGAGGAGACAAGAAGAGAAAGGTGAGTTTGTATTCTGTGAGTAGCTGAGAGAGGGGGCAATAATCAGTGGTGAATAAACTCACTCTTGTCTCTTGCTTCTTACAGGGCCAGGTGATCCAGTTCTGAGCATCATCCTACTCATCATTACGGACCATATTAAAGTAATTAGATTGATCCCTTGCTTTTTAAAATGTGTTTTCTCTTGGGGTGGGAGCTGTGAGTACATCAATTTAGCAGGGAGGTGTTGCTTGCAGAACCGTTTAACAGAACAGTTTTAACCTGGCTCTTGAAAAATCCCTGCCCATGCCTAGGATCTCTTTACTGTGTTTCCAAGAGGTGTTTTGGAATGGGTGCCAGTGACTTCTCTGCATGAACATGGTGCAGGCTCGTGTATGAACTCCCCTGAACAGCCCCTGCACGTGGCCATAGGTCCCTTTTTACAAACAGCTGTACTGCCCTGAGGAGCAAAGGCTTTGGAGCACCTAGTGGGTTTGGTACCTGCACCATTAGGCAGGCGCCTAATTAGGTAATTAGGCAGGTGCCATTAGCTGTGACAGGTGAGAGAGGTGAGGCACACCTCTATGCCTATGGTTGCTCCTGGCACATGGTGTAACAGGCCTCAGCTGCCTTCACCTGTGCCAATTGCTGTTGGCTCCTCTTAGCATTCTCCTTGAAGGAGGAAGGCCAAGCACAGCAGTGAAGTTGCAAATGGGAAACAACCAGAGTGTGGTAGGTTGTAGAGACAGCCTCCAGGCCAGCTTCCCCTTAGAGAGGACCATTTGTGTGAGTAGGAAGCCTGCTGGTAGCAGGTGCTGGGAATGCAATGCAGAGTTCACCCTTAAGGGCAACTTTCTTGTAGTGGAAATGGAGTTGGAGGATGGAGACGATGTGAAGATGCCTGTTCACATCTTCGTAATGATTGAGAGCATTCAGGTACTGAATAGTAAGGGAATCTGTGGTTTTGCTTATTAAGTATGGGCTGACATTATTGTCTTTTCATATTTGTATAGGCAGTGGTGGCTTTGGCCTGTCAGGGTGGACTGTATGGCTCTATTATGTCAGCTTCACCAAGTGCTGTTTCTAGTAATCATGACAAATTTCACAAAAACTTACATGACTGGAACAAACTGGCCTGTTTTCTAAACCATTATTTAATTTCAGATACCATGCTGTACTCTTGTATACTGCAAGTAAGAAAAATCATAGCCTTTTAAAGGGATTTTAATCAAAGTGCTTAATTACAGAAGAACAAATCAAGAAATCCTGATTGTATTGTAGTCAGAAGATAATATACTTGCACATGATGGTTGCTTAAGTGATTATCCATCTCTTGTCTTGGAGAGTCCATGTTATTCAACCTAAAGGCTACTGCCAGCAGTGGGAAGTGAGCACACCGATTTCTGGGAGGCAGGATTCATGGAGAAAGGAGACTCCAGTGGCCATATAAAGGGTGGAGAGGGAGTTGTCATCTAAAGGGAAGAGACTTCTGGAGTGAGGGGAAACCCTCAAAAACTTGGCTCCTAAGGCATGATAGCAGCTGTCAGTAAAGTTGCTATGAAGTGTAATGGTTCATGTCAGTCCCTGAGTTGTCAGAAGATGGAAGTGCAGGTCCATGCTCTGAGTGAAGTGTTGGGTTTCCTCAGTGGGGGTGGGAGCAGCTTTTCTTGGACTGTGTGCCCGGGTCTAGAAAAGAGAGCAAGGTGGCCAAAGTGTGTTTCCCTATTGTTCCCGAAATGCCCAAGGACAGCTGCAAGATGCTGCATGTGCATCCCCTGCCTTTCCTTGCTTGGTAGTGGCAGTGGGTGTAAACAGGAGTTGCTGCCCTGCTGCAGCCCTTCCAGCCCCTTGGAGGAGGAGTTGGGTGAGATGCCAGGGAAAGGGGCACTCTGCTGTTCACCCTTTCTGTTACCTTTTGATGGTGGAGTGATGGCCGTTTGTCACATTAGGCTGAAAGTTCAGATAACGAATGCCTGAGAAGAAAGGCATCTGCTTGGAAGAAGGAGATCAGTTTCCCACCACAAGTTCAGACAGAGCCTAAGGCTTAGAAAAAGATTGTCTCTGTGCTGCCTATAGTGGCAGGACTTTGAGCAGCACAGTGCCTGTGGGGTTCACCTCCACACTCAGGGAGGAGATCCAGCTGTAAACACCCCAGTCCCTGCTGGCTGGCAGCACCTGTCGGATGGAGCAGGCTGGGTTGCAGGCCAGCCCATTGCCGAGGAAGGTGAGGGAGAAGGTGAAATTCTGGGGTCCTCCAATCTCCTGATGGTTCAGCACCGCCACAGCGTAGGCTCGGCCAGACAGGGGCCGCTCCCACAGCTGAAAGTTCTTGTCCTGCCAAGGAGAAAACAAAGCCAGGGCTTAGGCTGTGGGAGGCTGAAGTGGTGCTCTTCATGCCTGTCTGTTCCAGGAGCTTCAGGAACAAATGGGCTCACTGGGCTCCTGCTCCCAAACCCTGAGCACCTCTCCATCCCTCCTGTGCCCCACTCTGCAAGCCCAGCCCTGTCCTGCTGTACCTTGATGAGCTGGTATCCCTGCTTGCCCAGTGGATCCTGGTTGATGGCGATCACGTCTTTGTTCTGGAGCAGACACTTGGCCTCAGGACTGATGTGCCTCAGGTCGTTGGACATGAACAGGGGAGCGGCCATGATGGCCCACATGGCCATCTGAGTCACTGACTGGTCCCAGCTCAGCCCAAAGTTTCCAATCACCAACTATGACAAGCAAACAAAAAGTGCCTGGTAACACTGCCTGCTGAGGAGAAACTGGGCCACCAGTGCCAGGAAATCACAGGGTGGGACCTCTCTTTGGAGCTGGCTAGATAGGATGAGTGCCAGGATCAGGACCAGGCTGGCTGGGAAAAGCAAGGCATGACTGCGTGGCAGTTTAGGGTAGGTCCCTGGTGGAAGTGAAGAAAGGTCTTTAAGTGGCTAGGCAGTGTTTAAGAATGCTTCTGGATTCAGATCCTTGCAATGCTGGCACCCAGGGGTTTTCCCTCTGGTGGGACATCAGCACTTTGGAGACTGTCCCCCAATGCCACACCTGTGTTCCGAGCTGGTACTGCTTGTGGATGATGCTATCCATAGCTGCAGTTCTCTTTTCCTTTCTACCCTGGACCTTGTCATCCAAATCCTGATCCTATGGTCCCATCAGAGCCCTTCCCCTCAGTTTTTCTCCCCCAGTTCTCTCCCTTGCCATTCTTAGCCTGCAGCTGAGGGAAGATTTGTTTTCCTGATGCTTCCCGTGGGGTGAGTTGCTGTACTTGCCATGTCAGGATCATTCCAGCCCCCTGGCCCAGCTATCTTCACAATGGTGTCCTGGTGAAGTGCTGTCCAGTCTAAGATACTCTTGATGCTGCTCCAGGAGTCATAAACATCATAGAAGTTCCTCCAGTGATTGCAGTACTGTTTGATCTCTGTGTAATTGGGCTGCCAGAACAATGAGTGTGATTAGACAGAGCACCTGGCTGTACAACGCAAGTGTCCACAAGGCTAGACTGGACCAAAGGTAGCTTGGGAGAGAACCAGGATAACACCTTCCATCACCAGCTATCTGGATGATCTCTAGTGCATGTTGATTCCCTTGAATACTTTGTGGCCAGTAATTCCACTCTGACATGTTCTAGACAATACTATTGCTCCCCTTAGGAGAACAGTTCTAGCCACCTACTCTTAAAAAATTCTTTCACAATTTTACTAAAGGTGTGACAAGGCCAGTGGGATTAGATTGTAATATCCCAGTAATTATGGCAATTTCATGGGTTTACACCCTTTGGTGAGTAATGCATTTAATTCCAGTGGGAGGGAATGGCACCATCCTGTCACAGTGGCACAGGGGAAGCCAGCTGTGGGTGGAGGGCAACGTGTCACAGACCCTGGCTGGCAGAAATCTCTCACTGAACAATGTGGAGGATGTCACAGAGCCTCTCTCGTGGTCCCCAGCGCTGTCTGTAAGGCTGAGCCTGCAGCACTCTGTGCACAGGAACTATCTGCTAGGCTGTGTGTTTGCATTGCTAATGGTTTGCTGCTTGGCTCCTTAGTGAGAGGAAGCAGATAATGCTGTGGTTTTGTTGGCATGCTCCATCTGGGCTGTGCCTTCATGCTGCAGGATCCTACTCAATCTGTTTCAGCAGAGCAATGGTTCAGGAATGTTTCAGGGCTCTGGAAGAAAAAGTTTCTTTCCTCCATTTTACAGCCTTGCTCTCTATTAGAATGGAGAACAGCAAGTTTCTCAGGATGCTGTTTTGCAATCTTAAATGTTTTTCTCTTCTTCCCACTTGAGCCTCAGGATAAACCTTGGGAGGCACTTCTTACCTGCTGCACAGGCCTCAAGTAGAAAGGCCACTCACAGGAGTACACAATGCTCCTTCCAGTGTTGTTCAGGGCCAGAGACATGCGCCTGTATCCTAAAAGAAGAGGACAGACAGAGGTTACACAACCTCCTTGGTCACACAGCAGAACTAACCCAATGTCAAAGGTTCAGGTTTCAGTTCAAGTCTTGCAAAATTAAGATTGAACACATTTTTGTGGTTGAGGCACCTCAGGGAGGACAGGGGAATTTAAAAGTCTGCAGCTGGTCACCTGCCTCCCAAGGACGGGAGCTTTGCTTGGGCAGGCTGTCGCTCCAAGACTGCTGATCCCTTTGTACATACAGCCAGGGGAAGAGGTTAAAAGCTTTCCTGTATGGCAGTTTTCCTCTAAATACCCAGGAAACAAAGTCAGTATCTATCAAGCAGTGCAGCTTTGCTGGGTAATGTAGGAGTACATTCTCATGAGGCACTTGTGCCATATGGACTGGGTAGGAATGCAAAAGCTCTAGTTTTTCCTGTCCTTGTCCCCAAACAGCCCTGTTAAATCCCTTCCAATTGGCAGAGAGGGAATGAAAAGTCTGCTCTCCTCTGGAACTGCTTCAGTACAACTGGATTGTATCTGGGTTACACATATGATCCAACGGGAGCTCTCAGCTCAGCTGTCACTCAGGGTGCTGAGCTGTGCTCCTGTCTCTGGCAGTTGGCATATGCCCCACCATCTGGCTTCGATGGGATTGTCACTTGGGCAGGTTCTCCCTGCCAGGCAAGAGACAGGACTTTGTGCAGGACTCCTGCTGCCAAACATGGTGGTACTGGCCGTGCCAGCAGCCAGAGAGCCCAGTCAAGAGAAAAAAAGCTTTCAAAGTTA